TTTTTCTTTTTTTTTTTAGTTTTATTCCTTCTTCGTATTTTCTTCTACTATTTATTTTTGGAAGTTTGGAAGTTTTCAGATGTATATTTTCACATATTTTATAGGCTTGATTATCTTTGTATAAACTATCAATTTCAAAAAATCTTGCAAAGTGAAGCACAAAGATAACATAAACACATATTATCCGAGTATTCTAATATGAACTCTCCTCTTAAAATGAAGTTGAAATATAGTTTGGAAGCTAAAACCAAGTCACTCTTAAAGTTGTTATTCTTTATTGCCTAAAAAGTAAAACATGTTTTAATTTTTAATCATAAAAATTAGAACTGTATTCACTTCTTATATTTTGTAGAAAGAATAATCTTCACATAATGAATTATTTATTATTTGAGACATATATTCTTCCAATTATTTTTAAAAAAAAATATTAGATTCTTAAACAATTATAAATGAGATGACTCTCTCATAGGAGTTTCTCACTTTCCCTTTGATCGTTATGTAAGGTACCTACTGGTATTATCTTGACTATTTCCTGGTTTTTAAAACTTTACCAATGTACTCTGTTATTGAGATTTACATAATGAGATTATTTTTTCTATAAGGCATTGAAAGAAGTAAAAATCTTTTAATTAGCGGAGTGATGCTATAGGTTTTTTTAGGGGAAAAAATATATTCTTTATTTATCTTAACCAATATATAGCTTCTCAATTCTATAAACTTACAATTTTTCACATGTCCCTCCGAATTGTAAACCAAATACTTGGTATGATCCTTAATTTTGAAAATACCATTTGCAATAAACCATACGGTTTTTTGCACCAATAATATAAATCTGAAGCTGAAAGATCTCTCACTTACCACTTGGATCTTTCTTAGACCCTTGTCAACCTTTGTCATTTGAAAGAAGATCTAGAGTCTGTTGTTGATTTGTGCTCTCATTGTGTTCCACATCAGCAAGACCATTCTCCAAAGCTTTCACGTGTTTTTCAAAGTAGGTTTGGTTACTTTAGTCAAACGAAATCATTGAAACTTTTGGATGGTTCATTAGTTCCGGAGACAAACTGTTCCAACTACATCTCTGCACAATGATGAAGCCTCTTTCAAATACTCGAAAAAATTGTGTCTTTGCATGTTCATTATGAGCAAGGTAGTATCCATATGCAAATGTCCAATTCAAGACCCTCCTACATTTCATTATCCAATCGTAAAATCAACCACATAAATACTTTGGTCCGTTTAAGAAAAATGTTGTAACAAAAGTCTCACTGAAAGTGTCATTACTAATATTCCTAAATTAGCATGATTGCAAAATTTTACCAATAACAGTCTTTAGTGAAATCACACTTTCTGTTCAACGATTCCACAAGATTTAACATGAAAAATATAATTTTAAAACCCTGATTGGTCTAGTTTTTTTAAATTTAATCAATAATTTCCCATTTATATTCCATTATGCATCATCCTGGTTCACCTTGAATAACCATGTATTTCGCACGGCCAAAAAAGTCTGGTTGGGGCAAGAGTCTCGGGCTCATCGAAATCTTTATTCCAACGATTTCTTCAGTCTTTACTATAATTAGAGTGAAGAAGCAGAGCGATCAATTCGACTTGGCTTGGAGAACAGTAGAAACTCGTTCAATATGGTCTCTTTTATGCTTGTGAATTTTTTTTTTTTTGTTTTGCTACGATTTTATGCTTGTGAATATATTCTTCACTATAACTGGACATCACAATAAACAACGCTAAATCAGTATGATTAGCATCACTTTGATTCCTCAAAATTTAACTGAGATGAATACACCTTAAACATGACCAAACAGAATCTCAAGTCCGAAGCAAACTTATTTTTGGATAAACCAGACACATTCCGAAAACAGAAACAAAGTTGAGATGGAGGAGCATAAACAGTATGGGATCCGATCGGTCATAGACTTATAGAGCAATATCGATGGAAATTAATCGCAAAGCTTAAATACTCAATCGTCCTCATTCATCATGAACACAGACCCAAAGCTTTTAAACAAAAAACCCTAATTCAAAAATTTTAATAAAGCAATACAACTCAAACGTCAAAACACAGAAACCACCAGTTGAAGAAGAAGCTCTGACTAATCGGAGATTAGGGCTAAAGTGAGAGCCTTGGGGCTTTCATATACAAAACCATACAATTTTATAGCATTAAAAGATCCAATATTAACTTCATGGTAACAAAATTTGGTATAGTTAATTATAAATAAAACTTAATTTTAACCAATTAAAGGATATTAATGACCTTTTAGAAAGGGACAAAAAAATAATTAACCACGCTGAGATTGAATGAGAGGTCTTTAAAGCTAAAATTCACTTCGCTTTTAATATATACTATGATGATTAGCCACCTAAATTGAATAAGAGAACTTATACCGAAAAATTTACTTCGCATATAGTATATATGATATCATTTTAATGTTTTTTTTTATCAAATTCCAATTTTTAATAAATTTTTAAAATTTAAATGTTTTTTGATTAAATTCTGATTTATATAATTTTTATTAATTTACAATTTTTGATATTTTTTAAAATTTAAATATTTTTTATTAAATTCCGATTTTAATAATTTTTTATTAATTTACGATTTTTAATAATAAATTTTATTAATTTTCGATTTTTAATAATTTTTTTATTAAATTTTATTTTAGAAAAATATAAAGGGGGTAAAAGGTAATTAACCACTCTGAAATTGAATGAAAGGGCTTTAACTCAAAATTTTACTTGACTTCTCCGTAAACATAAATGAAACAAACTTAAATTATTCTTTTTTAGGTAGTCGTTTTTGTTGGTAAGACGATTTCATACATACAACTTCAGTTTTTTTTCCTAAAAAGGAATTAGAAAAAAAATTCATGATTTAGATTGGTCCATTTCTTTCAATGAACGAATTTAAACTCTACGATTATCAATAACCAATCACCATTGAAATCGTAGTGAAAAAAAAAAATCAAATTTCAGTTCTTTAACTTTAAGATGAATCTTTCAACTACTAGATCACCATTTGATTGTTTACACGTTATCAGTTAGACAAACAAAAAAGAAAGTAGGATTTAACCAACAAAAACAAAAAAGATTGTAATATTTTCCTATCACCCATAAAAATCAAGGTCTACGAAAAGGTAGCAAAATAGAAACATTTTTTTCTGACAACAGAAAAGTATAATAATATTGACAAGAACAAAAAAATGAAAAAGATAATTGGATTAGTGGTTAGGAGTAGGTGGAGATGATGCTAGTGGAGGTTGGGGATGGTCCATCACCAGTTTCTAATCGAAGATAAAGTCCTACCGTTTGCTTTAATACTCGAATTGTAATGCTGCATGTTTCTACATTTTCTGAAACTTGTTACAAATACATCAATATGTAATATCTACAGCTTTTATTCCGTTAGAAAACTATAATCAATGTTCAACAAAAAGTAAAATTTTCAAGTCAAACAAATGATCTACATCTTAAATCATTCTTTTGTTTAATCATCATAGACTACTAGAAAGATGCTAATCAAGATTTGTCGATCAAGAAAGGACAGCTTGTTAATCATAAATTTGGAAAAAAAAAAAACAAAACAAGATAATCTTGATTCGTATAAGTCAAATCTCTAAACCGAAGGAGAGAGAGAGAGATAAGTGGAAAAGAGATTGGACCCAAAACAAAAAGTCCCTTTTGATTCTGTTAATTAAGGGTTGTTTGGTTGATGTCTCCTTCAAGTAAGAATCATATCTTGGTTGGTGAACACACACAAACACTAGTCACTAATAGTGTGGCTCATGTTTTGTTGTCCAGTTGTCTGAAACGACGGCGTTTGTGGTTTCAGATTTAGACTGCGCACCTTCTCATCTTCACACCAATTCCCATAGGTTTTCATAGTACCTTTTCTCCATTATCCAAGTTTTATCCATTGATATTTTGTACCTTATAATTAGTTGATTTAGTAGCGAATTTTTTTTTCTTATTTCTTTAATATATGAGAAGTTAACTGGACTAAAGAACCAAATAGTAACGATTTTGGATTAGAAAAAAATAGTAATGGATTGAGATAACTCGAGTATGTGAAGTGTACCTTTGAAAACAGATATGAGAATTTAGATTTTGAAGACGGTATGAGTAATTCGGATTTTAAATATCATTAGCTGAAGTTTCACCATATATAATCAACGTTAGATCCAGGTTCAGATAGATAACTGCAAATTATTTAGGATAATTTTTTGAGTCATCCAAAAGACTAAGAGAGTAAGTTGAATATCTTAAAAAAAGTTGTTGAATCTATGCCCTTACTCTATAGATTACTATGATCTAACCAAATAATAAACGATAATAAACAAAGACTTTCTATAAAGTTAAGCAAGTGGGAGTTGTAAAAAAATGTCAATTGGGGTTGTAGAGCTTCTTAAAACAGCTAAGCCGCACCATATAATATAATCATTTCATGTTTCTCCAACGAATTTTGGAGTGTTTTGGCCTAATAGTTGTTGGTGTAATGTTAATTAATTATCATTACATCTTTTCATTGTCACATGGTGAACCAGATTGATAACGACATGTGCATATGGTTGGCTTCTTGCATTAGAAGTCATAACTTGCTGGCGACTATTAATCATTCTTTAATTCCGATATTTATAAGAGTAGTATATGTCTAAGTCCCAAAATGATTGCTTTTGTTTAAAGACTTAAAGTTTTGTTTTAGTTTCATTAATGCATTATGGGTGCATTATAAACGTGGTTTAGTTAAGTACCAAACTAGTAAATGAAGACATGAGTAACAAAACCGTGGAAATTACTCCACATTACAACAAACAAAAAACAATGGGATCCATTTTCTTATACCTTATCATTTCTCTTTCAAATCCTAAACGAAGCAAATGCCTATTTCTTCAAAATATCAGCATTTTGGTTGAGTAAGTTTCTTAGTATTTCATTTATATGTTTTTGTATTAAGTAAGATGTAATTTCACACAATAAAGAAAGGCACAAGTAATGCTAAGAGAACATAACATCCGTTGCTAACCAAAGCCAAACTAAATGTGAATTAAAGTTGAGTATGTTTCTTCTTCTTCTTCTACTACTACTACTACTACTACTACTAACTATTAGTCTACTACATTGTTTTTTTGGGCAAAAAAGAATGAGAGTAACTCATAAACAATCCGATGAGCCCTTCCAGATTCGATGGGTTCAAAAGTCCTCGTCAGTCTTGAATTCGTAGTTCTTATTTCCATCTTGAAGGCTCGACATAACCGATGCCTTCTGATACTCTCCCACTCTCTTCTCAAAGAAGTTTGTCTTTCCTCTGCAATTTTGACATAAAAGTACCATGGCCTCAATGAAGAGAATACTATTCTTGATATGGTTTGTGTGTCAAAAACTGTGACAAACTCAGAGATATATTGACTACTTACTGTAGAGATATGAACTCCATCCAGTCAAACGGATTTTCTACTTTGTATCTCCTTTCACATCCCAAGGTAACCTAGAGAAAAACGAGACAAATCCATGAGCTCAAACTAAAAGCAAATTCATAGTTTAAAAATGCAGTAAACAAGAACGATTAACATTAATTTCTTTTACCAGAAGACGGTCTGCGACAAATTGTATGTACTGACTCATGAGGTTTGAGTTCATTCCAATCAGATCACATGGAAGGGCCTTACAGACAAACTCTGTCTCAATTTCCACTGCTTCATGAACAATCTGATAAACTTTCTCCAGGGGAAGCTGCTTCTGCAGCAAACTGCAGAAAAAAATGATTAAGGAGATTAATGGATCATAGAGATGTTGATAAAAACCCAATGTGGCTTACTGTTATCATACAGAGCGTTTTCTTACCTGTACAAGAGACAAGCAAAGTCACAGTGTAGCCCCTCGTCTCTCGATATAAGCTCGTTTGAGAAGGTCAAACCCGGCATAAGACCTCTCTTCTTAAGCCAGAAGATGGCACAGAAGCTGTCCAGAAAACATGTAATGCTTATACACGAAGTCTGCTTTCAAGAGCTACATATACGCAGCAACCGGAAAAAGATACCTTCCCGAGAAGAAGATTCCTTCCACGCATGCAAAAGCAACCAGCCTCACAGCAAAAGACATAGGACTGCAGACAATGGAACACTGTCAGGTAAAAGTTGGGATCATATCTTACAACTAATCACACTTTGTAAAGGTTGGATACCTCTGAATCCAATCTAGAGACCATTTTGCCTTCTTGGAGATACAAGGAATGGTCTCAATAGCATTGAACAATCTATCTTTCTCCTGCGAGTCTTTAATATAAGTCTCCAGAAGCTGGCTGTACATTTCTGAATGTGACAACAACAAAAAAATGCTTCTAATCAGTTTTTCGTGGTAGAAGCGTCAGTGGAAAACTACAACGTTACAAGTATATAGATAAAGCTGATACACAGAGGGCAATTTGCAAGATCATGACTTAAGGTCTAGTCCTATTCAAGACTATTCGCCTAAATCTAGAAACAACCAAACCCTTTCAAGCTCCTCTTGGTCCACATATGTTTATGTTAATTCACCATGACCTGACTTAAGCCTTTGTCCCTTACCATGACTTTAAATGGAACATAACAGCGTAGGTATCTCTATGAAAACATACAATCTATTTCGCAACAGGTTTACTCACAAAAGATGTGGACTTTGACAAACTTTTCTACAAACAAAGCCGTACCCGAATGAATGTTCTCCATGGCAATTTGAAACCCATAGAAAGCACGAGCCTGAAAAATCCAAACAGAGAGTGTCAGCTTCAAGATATTTCATGCCCCAGCATATTTCACACTTTTTAAGCAAACATATAGCTAAGTGAAATCTTCACCTCTGGAACTTGGACATCATTCAAGAATCTAGCAGCCAAATTCTCCAAAACAATTCCATCTGATGCGGCGAAAAACGCAAGAACATGGCTGATAAAATGTTTCTCCGATTCAGACAATTTTTCCCATTGTTGCACATCCGTGGAAAGATCAACTTCTTCAGCTGCAATGAATGAGTCAATCAATAATGTAAAAACCAAATGATGATTACACACACACACATCACAAAACCTAATCAACTACGAGTTTGGATAACATTACAATCCTAAAAGAAGAAGCTTTGCATTTACAAAGTCGAAGACTTTCTTCATCAAATTGCATTTAAAGCACCAATTTTTCAGAATTCGAGAGCATGACAATATTAAGCTAATCGAGAAACAAAGAAAAGAGAGGACTAACCAGTCCAGAAACTGGCCTCAGCCTTCTTATACATCTCCCAAATCGACTTGTACCTAATGGGGAACATAGAGAATCTCTGGTTCTGTGCCATCAAAAGCGGCTCCTCCGATTCTTCTCCATCCATCTCTCTGCTTTGACCGTCCTTCAGCGAACCCATTATCACGAATTCGTCTCTCAATTTCTCAATCTCAATCTGTTATCTCTGAGGTTTAGAAACAGAGGGTTAGATAGATAGAGAGCAGGAAAAAAAAAACGAAAACCCTAAACAAAAAGCCCTCGGAAACCGACAAGAAACTGAAACGCTCTGTAGATTTTGTCTCTTTTCGATGACGACTACGAATCTCGTGATTTTTCAACACAAAATATCTGGCCACCAGAAATTAATGAAGAATTATTAGAAAACAAATAAAAGCCGTAAGAACATAGGTTTACAATTGTTACAAAGAAGATGACAAAAAAAAAAAACAATTGTTACAAAGAAAAAAAAAGAACATATAGGTTTACAAAGAATGAAAGAACGTCAAATAGTTTAATTCGAAGTTCGAACATTGTTTGGTTTTTTTTTTTCACTCACATAGAATCATTCAAAGTTCTAACATTGTTTGGTTTTCTTTACCTCACATAGAATCATTCAATCAATCAAGGTGATGGTTGAGCAACTCCTAATTTTTAATCTTTTGTTTTCTTGTTTTATAAAGACAACAGTTATATTTTCTAAGTAGTACTTCTATAAAATGTTCTAACATTTGCAAATATTTTAGCATCATTATTGTAATTATCAATCATATATTTCTTTGGGGTTTAATTTGTAATCATTCATTTTTGGTTAATTTAAAGTTTTAAACAAATTAATATTGTCTACACTCTCCAAATTACATTTACAGCAAGTTAGAATGATCAACAAAAATATTTTGTAGAGCAATTATTAAATTGTTTGTTGTATGGAGAGAATAACATGAAATCTATGTTTTTAACCAAAAAATAATAAAAATGAAATAAAAAATGATTCGTCGAATAGAATATTTTTTATGGCAAAAAAAGAATAAGAATGGTTTTTATATATTAAGAAATTGATATTTAACACATAATTATTACAAAATAATATAATTCTTAAATTATACAATATAACTAAAGACTTAGACAAAATAGTTTGAACGAAAATAAAGAGTTACATCCTCTTCGTCTCGTTGTTCGACGAACGACATGGATCGATCCTGGTCTCATCTCAAAAATTGAAGGTTCTCCCAATTTTTCCTAATCCCAATCGATTCTAATCCCCACAAACCAGAATAATATCCTTTCAATTCTAATCATGACAGAGCAAAACAAATCCCTTTTAATCTTGTCCTAAAAGGTAAAAACCTTTATATTACTCTTATTGTCTTTATATTGCTTATTTTACAAGCTTAAAGTCGACACCATTGTTAAAAGTGTGAAGATTGAAAACAATATCATGTTCAAATTTTGGTCACAAGGTTTTAAGTTTTTTATTCAACTCTTCAAGTATTTCAACCAAGAGGAACTTGAGGTATTGGTGGTTTCTGGATTGTATGCTAGAAATATGTTTGTGTATATATCTAATTTGATTGTTTCACTGATTAGGATAATGATGCGTTAATTTTTTTCGTTTTCTTTAGGAGTTTGCTGCTTCAAAGTATATGTTGCTTACCCAATTGTATGGTGGAATTGATCTTCTCCTTAAGATGTGTGACTACATCAATCTCTCCATGACAAACTATTCAAACTTCTTTCGTCAAAAATGCTTTGATTGCGCTGAAGATTATATATGTTTGATGGTTATTAAAAGAAATTGACATAAATATGTTTTCTTTAATCACTCACAAGAATGAGAATTTTGTGGTTGCAAGGTTTATAAAAAAGTTAAAAGTTGGTTTTGTTTTTTTTTCATCATCTAGCTTGGCTGGCTTATCAGCAACTCTACGGGCAAACTGATGGTGATTAAAAAAGAAGGAGAAGAAGAAGAATCATCAAAGCTTTCATCGGTTTTGATTTGATAAAAACTAAACGCGTGATAAGCCTCAAACTATATATGAAATAATCTCTGCGGATTGATTTTTTTTAGGATTTAGCTTCTTCTTTTTATATTCGAAAAGGTTGATGAAATTGTGTACAAATCGTAACACAACATTTACTTACAAAGATTGGGTTTGGTGGAATTTTTATTTATTTATTATATTTTGTCGAAGTATCCCATATGATGATGTGAGAGCTGACGAAAAGAAGGGTTGATTTCATTTGACAAGCTTCATTGAGAACATTTTAGCTTGAATACAATGGAAAATTTACAACCTTGGGTCGACCAACATGATTGTCAAATGCAATATTTACTGATTGTATAAATCTTAATATTTATAAAAATAATTTTGACAAAAAATAGCAATGAAACTAAAAAAAATGACAAGTGAATTACTTAATTATACTTCATATTTCAACTCCTTTTAATTGAATAAAATTATGAATTTGGCATCAACGTTTATCAGTTTGGTACAAAAATATCATCAAATGACAATCATTTGATGATCGTCATTTAAAACAAAAAACAAAAACAAAAAGCTAAATGTTTATAATTTATTAATACCTCGATCAAATTTTGTCTCAAAAAATATATAATTTGATCCACTATTTTGATGTAAAATTTAAAGTTCTTCGCTGTGATAGATTAACAATTTCATTAACTTTTTCTATGGTTATTCATAGAAAATAAACTTTTTTACTTTTTTCTTTTGTGTGTGGGAAAAATTATTCATTAAAATTTTGTATTGTTTTTTGAATTACTTGAAAAAGTCCACTCTTTATTTAACGCACGTTGACTTTTTAGGTACGCACGTGTGGTTGATTGATCTACTACAGTCCGTTTTAGACAACGAAGCTATGTTTTTGGTCGGCGAAGAGAGAAATGTCGGATCATCAGTGTACCGAGAACCCGCCTAATCTGGATCCAAATAGCGGGTCGGGTCAGGTCGAGAAACTAGGCGGCCTCGACACTTACGTCTCTGGTTCCACTCATTCAAAGCTCGCCGTTGTTCTTGTCTCTCATGTTTTCGGTGAACTTCTTAACCCTCCGATTTCATTTTTTTGAGAGAGAGACTACTGAGTAATAGTGTTCTTTCGAAAGTCTCAATCTTTATGAATTTTTGGTTTGATTTTGAGAATCTGAAAACATTTTATCTTTTCCTGCAGGATATGAAACTCCACAACTGAGGTACGGTAGCGAATTTGTTTGTTAATTGCTTATGAACTGTATGCCTTTTTGTTGATTGGTTACAAGATCATCTTTGGTCTTTAAGAAAAGAGTAGATAATATTTGCAATCTAATGTGTTACAGTTTGTATCACGTTTTGTTGGTAATGGAACCCAAGAATCTTCATTAGTTTTGAATAAGTGATCTGTTTGGAGGAGTCTTGTTGTGGAGATTGCAGTAAATAAACAACATTAACGAAATGCTTGAGCTTTTTAGTAGGAAATTCTGACTTTATTTTAAAAGGGTTTTGTAAAGTGATTGGACAGATTTACTTGTTTAGTGGTCATTCTTGTAAAAAGATTAATAGTGTCATTGGGAGATTTGCCTCTTGGTGTTAGTTTCTAGATCAATTCTTGCTGCTGATCGTAATTGTTTAAGAAAGTTTTGACTTATGTTTCCATTTAAGCTTTCTTCTTTTCTCTATATATCACTCGATATAAGTTTCGTTTTTGTTGTAAGTTGCTTTGGATTTTTCTCTTCTGTAAACAGGAAACTTGCTGACAAAGTTGCAGAAGCTGGTTTCTATGCGGTGGTTCCCGACTTCTTCCATGGAGATCCCTATAATCCGGAGAATCATGATCGACCACTTCCTGTCTGGATAAAAGATCATGGACAAGTTAGTCTTCTCTTCATTATTCACTGTTCCAAGCCACTTTTGTTTTGCCTTGTCTAAACATAATGGCTTTGTTTCCGAGGTTTGTAGTGGTCTACTCCTCTATACCTTCTCAGGATAATTTGAATGCATTATTGTTTGTTTGTTTGTTTTTATTGATTATTGCAAAGCTAAAATTTAGAAAACGCTTTATCATGTTCTGCATTGAATCTATCTGAAACGAGTCCCTGTATTGAATTTGTAGGATAAGGGTTTTGAGGACTCAAAGCCAGTAGTTGAGGCCTTGAAGAACAAAGGCATAACTGCAATTGGAGCAGCAGGGTTCTGTTGGGGTGGTGAGTTTGGTTTTCTTCTTCCCATTTTAAGAAATTGTTCTCTATATTTTGTATATTGTGTTTACACAAAAAATGGGCTTTTCTATATTCATTTTTTATTTTCGGGAGTAGGGCTAACACAAAACTCTTTTTGTTTTCCTCTTGTGTGTTGATCACAGCAAAAATCGCAGTGGAATTGGCGAGGCAAGAACTTGTTGAAGCTGCTGTTTTGTTACATCCTTCTCGTGTTACGGTGGATGATATCAAAGGTAAGTTCTTTGTATATGGACTACTCTTTTACTTGCTTCCCTCTCCTTTTGTTGAAGTTATACATGATAATGACTCTTGAGTGTTTCGAAATCTAAACCCCAGAGGTCAAAGTTCCAATTGCTGTATTAGGAGCTGAATTTGATCAAGTGTCTCCTCCAGAACTTGTGAAGCAATTCGAAGATATTTTTGCTACTAAACCTGAGGTACTTTGCTCCACTCATCCACTTATCTTATTGTTTACAGTTTCTAGCAATGAACTATTTGATATATCTCTAGCTTCAGAATATCTTCAAGTAGATAGTTTTTCATTATTGCAATTCCATTGACCGGAATCACGAGGTAGAGATACTAATCAGCAAGCAAGTGATGTTTCAGGTGAAGAGCTTTGTGAAGATATTCCCGAGAGTCAAACATGGCTGGACTGTTAGGTACAACGAGAATGATCCATCAGAAGTTAAAGCAGCAGAGGAAGCTCACAAGGACATGCTCGCTTGGCTCATCGACCATGTCAAGTGAGAACTTGGAACTGTCTAAGCTTTTGCTCTGCACAGAATCAATAATGAGACCTAGAAGCTGTAAGAAAACTGTTATGTGTATTACTGTTGAAAACAATCAATGTGACTAGTAGTATCTTTAACCTTCCTCAGGGTTGGTTTGGTATGTTCTTGAGTAGTGCTAATGGACCTTTGGGCCATAGCCTTAGGCCTCGTCTTATAATTATTGAAATAATGGGGAGGACCAACTTCAGTTGCATTTTTTTTCCTATATATACAACTTTTTCTGTCTGATTAAAAATAAATTTTCTTTCCAAAGTCATTAATCAGAATTTCAGAAAATGAAATAAATGAGATTGTGTGTGTGAGGTTGAAACTTGATCAGTGAGATTGGACAATTCTGGAATCATACTTACACAAAAGATCTTAATGCATCAAAGTCATCATCGTAAATTCGTAATTGATGCGTTTGAGGCATATGGAAAACGTTTTTTTACAGTCGAAAAGATTTCAAGGACCACGTCTTCTTTTAACTATACTAGATGAATACCTGCATGTATACGCGGGTGTTTTGTTTTTTTGCTTAAACATATATTATAAAATTGTTATAAACAAATGGACTTTTAGTAACCGGCCCATTAACCATCAGGTTAATGTCTCATGACCCATTAGGGTTTCTGATACATTAGTTATGTAATGTATATATACACTACTTATGGAAACAATAAGATAAGAGTTTTTCCCTTAATACGTTATCAGCACGAAGCTCAACTTCAAACGATCATATCTCTCAAAATACAAGGAGTTAGAAGGCGATCTACATATTATTTTGAAGCCCTGGAAGAGAAGAATCTAATGGTGAAAACCGCTCCTCAATCCGACACCAGACGCGCCCTCAAGACTCAAAACAATCGGCGCTGTCCCACCTTAGCGGGTGATTCTTTTCAAGCGGTGGTTCCTCCATTGTAGCAGCTGTTCGTCCTCTCTTCTGGCCATCATTCTTAGGAGTTTCCAGTAGATATCTGTGGTCTTTACCTCCCAGATCATAAGCCGGTCAGAAATCCATTTGGCGAAAAGATATGCAAGACAATATGGATATCATTGTGGATAGTAGATCGAGCCACACCATTCTAAAAGACAAGAATTACTTCATAAATTTAGTAATCAAAACCGCAAACATTAGCACTATAGCGGGTAGTTCGAGCCTAATAGAGGGCCATGGCCAAGCTAATGTGCTGTTATCAAATGGCACATATCTAGACATCTCTGATGCCTTATACTCACCCAGTTCTAAGAGAAACCTATTGAGTTTCAAAGACATAAGATTGAATGGTTTCCATATCGAAACTCAGGATGAAGGGAACAAAGAGTTTTTAATTATCACTAAAATGATAAATGGCCATAAACAAGTTTTTGAAACTATACCCGCCATATCTACTGGCATTTACCATGCTAAAGTCAGTATGATTGAGGCTAATGCTGCTATCAAAGCACGGTTTTTAGATTACACTATTTGGCATGATCGCCTGGGTCATCCCGGTGCGAACATGATGCATAAATTAGTCCAGAATTCTAAAGGGCACAGCCTTAAACCAAATGGTATTTTCCCTCAGCACCTCAAGTGCACAGCTTGCTCACAAGGGAAACTGATTACCCGACCTTCACCAGTCAAAGTGTCTAAAGAGACCTTGAACTTTCTGGAAAGAATCCAAGGAGACATATGTGGACCAATTCACCCACCTTGTGGGATATTCAGATATTTCATGGTCCTCATTGACGCATCGACCCGCTGGTCGCATGTCTGTCTGCTCTCTTCTAGGAACCAGGCTTTTGCTAGGTTATTGCCCAAATCATCAGATTACGAGCCCATTTTCCAGACTTCCCATTAAAGACTATACCTCTTGATAATGCTGGTGAATTCACTTCCCAAGCGTTTAATGAATATTGTATGTCCATGGGGGTAAGTGTTGAACATCCCGTTCCACATGTCCATACACAAAATGGATTAGCTGAATCCTTCATTAAACGAATTCAATGGGTTGCTAGACCATTACTCATGAGGTCACAACTCTCGGTCTCAGCTTGGGGACACACAGTCTTACATGCCGCTGAACTAATACGCATACGACTATCTAGTGAGCACAAATATTCACCATCCCAATTGCTAACGGGTCATGAGCCAGACGTCTCCCATATTAAAACATTTGGGTGTTCAGTCTATGTACCCATTGCACCACCACAGAGAACTAAAATGGGACCTCAAAGAAGGATGGGAATATATGTTGGTTTTGATTCTCCCACCATCATAAAATATCTCGAGCCAACTACAGGAGATCTGTTTAAAGCCAGATATGCAGATTGCCGATTTGATGAATCGGTATATCCTAGATTAGGTGGTGAGACAGACAAGCTGGTAAAAGAACTTTCATGGAATCAAACATCCACACAATGGCAAGATCCTCGGACTCTAGAATGTGATTCAGAGGTCCAAAGAATTATACATTTACAAAAGCTAGCTAATCAATTGCCAGATTCCTTTGCTGACCCGAACAAAGTTACCAAATCGTACATACCAGCTTGTAATGCACCAGTACGAATAGATGTCCCCTCAGGGAAAAGTCAAGTTGCTATAGAGTCTGACGCACGTAAGAAACGTGGCAGACCACCAGGTTCCAAAGATAAGAATCCCCGAAAATCAAAGAAAGGTGCAATGATTGAAACCGGGATTCAAGAGAACACGGATACAGCCTCAGCTGATACTTACCCTATCGAACCATCTCAAGAGGTTTGGGACGCCAAAACTCAAGGTTCTAAAGGGATTGATAATAATGAGATCTCAATCAATTATATCATATTCGGTTCTCTATGGAACAGAAAAGATGTCGACATCAATGAAACTTTTGCATACAAGGTAGCACTTGAGATTGCGCACACGCAAGAGGATCTAGAACCCACGTCTATAATTGAGTGCACTCGTAGATCAGATTGGCTGAAATGGAAAGAAGCCATAAACGTGGAGTTAAATAGTTTAAAGAAACGGAATGTGTTTGGTCCGATCTTAAGGACACTATTCGATGTTAAACCAGTGGGAAACAAATGGGTCTTTGTGCGTAAAAGAAACGAACTCGGCGAAGTCGTTAGATACAAGGCACGCCTTGTAGCACAAGGATTCTCACAGAGACCCGGAATCGATTATGAGGAGACTTATTCTCCAGTGGTGGATGCAACTACATTTCGATTCCTCATAAGTCTGGCCATAAGAGAAAACTTAGATTTGCGGTTAATGGATGTTGTAACCGCATATCTTTATGGACCACTGGACAGTGAAATCTATATGAGATTACCAGATGGTATTGAGCTCAAAGATAAGCATGCATCTCGTGATAAACACTGCATTAGGCTGAACAAATCCTTATATGGACTGAAACAAAGCGGACGTATGTGGTATAACCGGTTAAGCGAATATCTCATCAGAGAAGGCTACGAAAACGATCCGATCAGTCCATGCATCTTCATCAGAAAATATCAAAACAAAGGATTTGTAATCATAGCAGTATACGTGGATGACTTGAACATCCTCGGAACATCTGGTGAAATCGCCCAAACAGTTGAATTCTTAAAAGCAGAGTTTGAAATGAAAGACCTAGGCAAAACTAAATTCTGTTTGGGATTACAACTTGAGTACGTCAATGACGGAATCCTTGTGCATCAATTAGCATACACTGAAAAGGTACTCAAGAGATTCAATATGGACTAGGCCCACCCATTGACCAGCCCAATGGTTGTGAGGAGCCTTGGATTGGATAGTGATCCATTCGGTCCAAAGAAGGACGATGAAGAAATCCTCGGTCCTGAAATGCCATACCTCAGTGCCATAGGATCATTAATGTACTTGGCTAGTCACACTAGACCAGACATCTGCTTTGCCGTGAGCCTCTTAGCTCGCTTTAGTTCGTGTCCAACTCAAAGGCACTGGAACGGTATTAAGCACATCCTTAGATACCTTCAAGGTACTAAGGACTTGGGATTATTTTATTCTAACCATAACAAGGATGGTCTAGTTGGTTTTGCTGATGCAGGATATTTGTCAGATCCGCACTGTGCCCGGTCTCAAACCGGTTATGTTTTCACGCATGGAGGAACATCCATATCTTGGAGATCCATGAAGCAGACTATTGCCGCTACCTCATCCAGCCATGCGGAAATCTTGGCCATTCACGAAGCTAGTAGAGAGTGTGTTTGGTTGCGGTCCATGACTCAGCATATCCGATCAGATTGTGGTATGGACGAAGATAAGGAGCCTACGGTGATGTATGAAGACAATGCAGCTTGTATCGCTCAACTCAAGGACGGCTACATCAAAGGTGACCGGACGAAGCATATTCTGCCCAAATTCTTCTTCACTCATGAGCTACAGAAGGATGGTCAGGTCAAGGTTCAGCAAGTCCGATCAAGCGAAAATTCAGCCGATCTATTCACTAAATCATTACCGACTTCTACACTCTGGAAGCTCATTCATCAGATAGGAATGCGTAGACTTAGAGATCTACAGTGATGCCTAAACCAGGGGGAGTAATGCGTGTTGTACTCTTTTTCCTTCACCATGGTTTTTCCCACTGGGTTTTCCTGGTAAGGTTTTAATGAGGCAACGTTCCCCAGCGCATTATAGAGATCCCGGTTTTGTGACAGGCACGGTTACCTTGTCCAAGGGGGAGTGTTATAAACAAATGGACTTCTAGTAACCGGCCCATTAACCATCAGGTTAATGTCTCATGGCCCATTAGGGTTTCTGATACATTAGTTATGTAATGTATATATACACTGCTTATGGAAACAATAAGATAAGAGTTTTTCCCTTAATAAAAATTACATTTTTCTACAAAATTAACCTATTTTTTATTTTTGATAATATAAATATCATCCAAATTTGTAAAAATATACTCATTAAATATGATTTTTATTTTAATATAATTTATTAATAGATATTTTTCTATAAATTTATATATTCTAATTTTTTGTATTTGGTAATCTGAATATCATATGAACTCGTAAAATGTAGTCATTATTTTTTGTAGATGTAATACTTGTTATTTTTGCACCCAACCAAATACTTTTTCATTATTATTCTCAACCTGTTTTTTTTTGTTAGTTAATTTTTAATAATAAAAATATGTATTTTGTAAGACAAATTTATATCTTCACCAAATCGTATTTGTAATGTATTTTTTCATCATTCAGAGATATATTTCTGCATATATTTTTTGTTAAAGATTAAAGCAGAGAGAGTGAGAGTGGAAAAAATACGATATGTAGTTAAGCAACCTGATATGCTATATCCCAAACTGACCTTATTAATGGTTCTTCAACTTATGTCTAATCACTACAAATAGGAAGAGCGAGGAAGATGGTTTTTGTTGAGAGACTTGGTGGCTTGGAAGTAAAGAGCAAGTATTGAAATTAAATGAAATTAAACCCTACAAACTCGTCCTGTTCAAGGTTTATTTGAAGAATTAAGTCCTTTAAAAAAAATTCTGCATTACCTTCCATTGCAAACATGCCTTGGATATCATAGATGAAGATCAGAAGCCTAAAAAAACATATGAGATACAAGCCAATCAGGCAACCAAATGATAAGGACATCAACTTTTTGCCCATATCTATGACACTTTTGTCTCAAACTCCACCCTCAAACTTCCCTTCTTGACGAAAACTTATAGCTACCATCCCATATTTAATATTATAACTGAAACTTCAAATCATACATCGAATAATAAAGTAAGAGACTTTCAACTAAAATTCAAAATAAATTTCATTAGAACTTAGAATTTCAAGAGCTGACCTTGAAGATTTGTCATTGATTTGCTTAAACAATACAGCTCATTTCCTTGTCTTCTTTTACTAATCAATCAAGATTAAAGAAAATAAAAAAATCAATGAACATAACTTGAACCTAATCGTTTGAAATTAGCTTAATTTTTTTGAGATGAGCTTTTTCTTAACAATCAGTGGAAAATTCCCAACGGGAACAGTTATAAGAGCTTACTCTTTACTTCGAATCCTCCCTTCAAAACCATCTTATCCTCTACTTTCTGTCTCGTCTCACCAAGTGTCTTCTCCATGTTGTCGTACTTCTTCTTTGTGCTCAAACAGTGTTGTGTTCTTCCTTGTTTTTGTTGATTTCTGCCCGAGACTTCAAATCTCAACCCTTTGTCCCGGTGGTAGTGTTGTCATCGGTGGGTATGTATTTATATAAAGAAAATGGATCAATATCTATGTAAACAAAACCAGAATGAATTCAATACAAGAGCTATAATGCAGCTCTCAAAAACTCATAAATCAAAGAGGAGACGTAGAATAAAAAATCTTACCTATTGACTTGTGGAATTTTGAGTCGATATTAGAAAGCATTGGAGATTGTTTGAAATTCCATCTTTCCAACTTCCAAAATGAAAATTAATTTGCAGTTCATTATGAACCATAAATTAATATGCACTTCTTTTTCGGTTTTTGTGTTCAATTAAAAAAGAAATTAGTATAATTTAATTATTTAATTCTCTCATAATTGTTTTTTAATCTGATGTGTCAAAAAAATGGATGCTGATGTGTCAACCTTGTGAGACTCAACTGAGTCTTTATATAATAGACTAGATGACTACCCACGCAAATGCATGGTTTTTTTTTTAATTATTATTTATTTAATGCATAAAACCTAAATTAAATTTAGATTTTTGGTTATTTTTGGATATTCATGTAGGAAAAATTAGTTTTTTATTTATTTCTTAAGGTGTTCTTGTTTTGGTTAGCTTTTTTATTGGCTTTTTTTTGGATAAATTTTTTTTTTGTTAGTTTTTTACATATTTTCTTAAGGTGTTCTTATTTTTGTTGGCTTTTATATTGGTTTTTTTTTTTCAAAAAGCTTAATTAACTTTCCTTTACTAAAAACCGTTAATTTCTTCTTTTAAGACTATATCATCTTTTTTTTGGAATATCATAAACAAATTTGATATGAGAATCCATCAAATCTAGATATGTAATCTATATTTTCTTTTACTGGTATCAAAAGTAGTAAGATTATTCTCATGATTATTCAAACACAAAAAAAATTGCGGCATCAAATAGTTCTTTAAATCAGAGTAGCTTACATGATCATTATACCACCCATCTTATGGTAGAGACTTCTTTTTCTGTTATGTGAATAAAATTCAACCTAGAACAAACCATTAGCGAATTTTTACTTTTTTGTAAAGCTTACTCAAGTTTACTAAATTCAGTGCGTGTTAATTATCTTTAACTTACCTAAACAAATGTTTCATTTTTTTCCTTGCTTGTTTCCAAGCTCTTTACTTTGATTTCCATGCATGTATCGCATTCAATGATTTGTTATAGTGTTTTATTTAAACCATGTTAAGAAGATCATTGCATCATCAACATGGAAATATAACGCTAAGTCGCTAACCATTTGCCAATATAATTGATCCTCTTCCCTCCATTAAGCGAACCCCTATAAATTCCCTAATAACCAAAATATGAAAAGTCATAATAATTTTTTTTTCTTTTTTTATGATCATAAAGTCAAAAGATGTTTAGTAACAAAACTTAAATTAGTAGCAAATTTCTCTTTTGAGAACCCAAATAAGCAAGATAAAAAAAGTTTATCAGTAATTCTCAGAGTAATTAATCATCTTTCATAAGTTCATAGTCACCATAATTGAGAAATGTATGTAGCAAATTAACATTCAAACAGTAAAGTAAAAAAAAATAGGAGAGTTCTTTATCACAACAAGCTTGGAAGTCGTCTTGCTATTTACTATTTATAGAATTCTTGAACAAAATTCTTCTTCTCCTTTAAACGAACACAATTGAGTGTTATCGTTAATGTCTCTGACCGTAACCAAGAAATAAATCTAAAACTGTGGATCTATGGACAACGTTTATTGTTGTAGGCTCTTACATAGAAACCTGCATAAGATACAATTTAAAACTGTAGATTGGAGATTTATCAGAAAATTTTGAGTTATCTTAACTTTTTTCTTTTTTTTTTCTCTTTCATATATGCGTTGAAACATGTAGAAAAAAAATCTTCATATTAACAATGTTTGAAGCGTCATCATTAAGAATAGGAGACATCAAAAGCTGGAATTAAAAAGCCATCATAATAAATAATCAAGTTATAGGAAAAATGATTATGAAAATAATTAGTTTTAATTTAGTTTTTTTAATAACAAATAAATGAGTTGATGTGTCATAAAAATAAGTGCTGATGTGTCAAGTTTGTGAGACTGAATCTTTATATAATAGATTCGCTGTAAATGGGGGCAAATCAATATATTCAAACAATAATTATACGTTGTTTTCCTTTTTAAAATAAAGAAAGTAATGGTTTTATTTCATTATAAGATAATTATATGGTGCTTGTAAGTATTTCATCATTTTTTTTTATGTCTTTTATTTAGTGAGAAGACTAGTTATATTGACGATTACAAAAAAAGGAATTTACTACTTATTTCTCGTTGCTTGTCATGAACAACATTAAAACTAACAATATAAAATAGTTATCATATCATGATATCAATGTCGTCAATGATTTGCGTAATATGTTTCTTTAAAAAAGTTAGGAAAATTAAACTTTTTTTGTAAGGAAAATGTTTGTTTGACGAAAAAAAAATAGGAAAGAAATTTTAAGTGTATATTTATAATAGTACTTATAGTGTGGCAATAAATGGACAAAAAAGAGAGAAGGTAGAGAGAGAGATAGGCCTCTGAGTCACTGACTTTTGAGTTATTCACATCTTGCATCTGCTTGACTTAATATATAATAACATTTTTGCTTTTTACCTTCCTTATTTAATTCAGTTCTTCTCCTTCACAAATCACAATTCTCCTCTTCTTCTCTTCTTCCACTTTCAAGTTTTCTCAGCAGCCACACACAAATTAAGCAAACTCCTTCATCATAAAGAAGATTCAATGGCTGATCCCATCATGCTAAGCTCTCCATTGTTGAATGATCAAGAAGATGGAGAAGATGAAAGAGGAAGGACAAGCTCATCTTGTATTCAAAAAGTGATCGACGTGCAAGAATCCAAGGCTCAAATCATTTACTCTCTTCCAATGATATTCACAAATCTTTTCTTCTATTGTATTCCTTTAACCTCTGTGATGTTTGCTTCCCACCTCGGCCAACTCGAGCTTGCCGGTGCAACCCTCGCCAATTCTTGGGCCACCGTCACCGGTTTTTCCTTCATGGTACCATTCCTCTCCTATGCCTCAAAGCTTTATATTCAACTTTTCTATTGATTCCCAGCTGCATAAAATAACTTTATACCCATTTTTTTTTTATGTCTTAATGATTTTCTCAAATTCGGATTCTAAGTTTATATCCATGTCTCTAGAATTGGTTGTTCGAGTTTACATTTTTTTTCTTGATAATTGCGTATAGATCTTGACCAAAGTACATACTAATAATGAGGGATGTAATAAATCAGTTTTCTTGCCATTTAAGGCGTCTATCTTGAACCTATGGACACGTTTTGTTTGAATTTTCTTTATAACATATTTTCAAGAATATTTGTCTGATTAATGGTGATTAATAGACATATATTTTTTATATACTTAATGATATATAGTAACGTCCTTTAATTTTTATCAGACAGGGTTAAGTGGAGCACTTGAGACATTGTGTGGACAAGGGTTTGGTGCAAAAAGCTACAGAATGTTAGGGATCCATCTACAATCATCTTGCATCGTCTCATTAGTCTTCACCATCCTCATCTCCATTTTCTGGTTCTTCACAGAATCAGTTTTCAGACTTCTCAGGCAAGATCCTAACATCTCAAAACAAGCTGCACTCTACATGAAGTACCAAGCTCCCGGTTTACTCGCTTATGGTTTCTTACAAAACATTGTAAGATTTTGCCAAACACAATCCATCGTAACTCCACTAGTCATCTTCTCTTTTGTTCCCTTGGTGATTAACATCGCTATCGCATATGTTCTGGTTTATTTGGCTGGACTTGGATTCATTGGTGCACCAATAGCTACATCTATTTCATTGTGGATAGCTTTCCTTTCTCTTGGAACTTATGTGATGTTTTCAGACAAGTTTAAGGAAACATGGACCGGATTTTCGTTAGAATCATTTCGTTATGTAGTATTAAACTTGACATTAAGCCTCCCTTCTGCAGCTATGGTATGGTAAGTCAAGAACAAAAACCATTAATTATCATCTACTTAAAATCATATGCTTGTTGATGCTTAAGAGACTATGTTGTTTCAACAGTTTAGAATATTGGGCGTTCGAGATTCTTGTGTTCTTGGGAGGACTGATGCCAAATCCAGAAATTGCCACCTCTTTGGTAGCTATATGGTAAGCTTTATATCACTATGTAGTTAATTATTAATGTTCTATTTCATATCAACAAAAATAGCTCATTGTTGTGTGAAAAATGTTAAATAAACTCAGTGTCAATACGGAATCAATTAGCTACATGTTAACATACGGCCTTAGCGCAGCTGCAAGGTCAGTCATCTCATCTCATGAATCGTTTAAAAACTCTGTAAATTATAAAATGTAAATTGAAAATGTAAGTAACAAATGTTGCAGTACTCGAGTGTCGAACGAACTTGGAGCAGGAAATGTAAAAGGCGCAAAGGAAGCGACTTCTGTAACCGTTAAGCTGTCTTTAGTACTTGCTCTAGGCGTAGTGGTTGCTCTACTTATAGGTCATGATGGTTGGGTTGGGTTATTTAGCAATAGTCATGTGATCAAAGAAGAGTTTGCAACACTGAGATTCTTTCTTGCTGCCTCTATAACACTTGATTCGATCCAAGGTGTTCTATCAGGTAACAAAAGATTCAAGAACTCTTCTTCTTTCTTGAATCATAACAAAATATTCAAGAACTCTTCTTCTTTCTTGAATCATTAAACAACGAAAGAAAAAAAATCAAATTGTTTATATTTTGATTTAAAGGAGTGGCCAGAGGTTGTGGATGGCAGCGAATGGTCACGGTTATAAATCTAGGAACATTCTACTTCATTGGAATGCCTATTGCGGCCTTTTGTGGTTTCAAGTTGAAGTTGTATGCCAAGGTAAAATGCATGACTCTTTTAAGAGATTGGTTTATGTTTTTTTTTTTTGTTATTTTGTTATGTTAATGTTTGATTCATTGTTTTGGTGAAAACAGGGTTTGTGGATTGGTTTGATATGTGGGATATTTTGCCAATGCTCATCTCTCTTGCTTATGACAATTTTCCGGAAGTGGACAAAGCTGAATGCCTCGGTCTGAAACTAGTTAGTTCTATTTTGTACGTAGCTGTTATTGTGGACGAGATTAATATTCTTTTTTAATTTTCTCGCTGTTCTTGGAATGTAAGAGCTCAATTTTCACTCTAAGCTTTGAAAGCAACTTCTTATTGGTTTCTTTTCAAACAAGATAAACAATTATATATCGCATGCTTCAGAGATAAGAGATCATGATTGAAGATAAGAAGAAACAAAAGGAATAATTGAATCATCATCATATGTTTGTATCAGAAGAAGAGGATAAAGAACACTTGAACAAATACATGTGATGAAGAAAAAAAAAAAGCAGACCAAAGAACACAAACATTTGAATAAAATCATATGTAAACCCATAACCAAAGCCAACAATGATAACCTATCAAGACAAATCTTTGTAAAATAAAATCACCTATTTTTCGACATATATGCATATCACTGACTTCACACAATTTCAAAAGCAAACTCATAATTGGAACTATTTGCTGTTTTTGAAGAAGTTAAAATCCCACTTGCGTATTAACCCGTCTAAGACTTTCCCCGGTGCACTACTACTACTGCTACTACTACGTTCAACTGTCACTGTGGCCTTTGTAACTGATGACATGTCACTGGTCTCGCTTGCCTTCTGGCTCGAATAGCCAGGCACAGAATCCTTTACTGGTCTTGCTAGAGAAGCCGGGGTCTCACTTGGACCATTGGACTCGGAAGACGATGGTACTAGATCCCTGCTAAGTGTTGCTGGACTGGAAGCAGAATCAGTCTCTGATTGATTTGCTTTAGTTGAAGATGATTCTTCCCTGGAAAGAAGGGACTGTTGTACAGTTCGAAAAGCATTGCTTCCGTGAACTCTCTTCTCGGAAGGTTCTTTTTCCTGAAGACTTTGCACTTCCAGGTCCTTCAATGATTCCATCACCGCTTTCATAAGCATCTGAATCAGCAATAAAGATTATGAGAATGTCAATACAGCATGAGACATATTAGGAGGTTTAAATTAAAGTAGAATAACCACTGTTTGATCTCACCCTTTCTTCTTCCTCTGCATTAGATGGGATGTCCTCCAAGTGATACTCCACATATTGATCATCATCTAAAGCCAGCCCAAGGTGATGAGGGTATTGATTGCCGTTTGACAAATCAAAGCTTATCATATCAGTAGATGATGAACTGTCACGGCCATCATGATTCTCTTTCTCCTGAAACAGAATCATTATGCCAAGTCAAGAGATTCCCACGTCGTCTCTATGATTTCTTTTCTTTTCTATTAACAAGAATATACGATGGTCACCATGACGCATCTGTCTGTACTGTTGTTGATCTAATGACCAATATATGTTCAAACATGGTGACTACTGACTAGTAACCATAAACACATCACAAGAAGAGCAAATACGGAAGAGAAGAGAAACTGATCTTGTACCTTAGTCTCTGATGGAGAACCGTTAGATGTGACATTCGAAGGAACCTGAAGAAAGTATAAAAACAATTAAAAAAATACAATAGAGAAAGCTTAAAACTACAAGGCATAAACTTCAATTTTACTTTTGTCGCTTGTGTAAGAGAAACTACATTACTCCACTATATTTCATAAGCTTTGAACTCTTTCTGTAAGGTTCTATAATCAGAGAGATATGGTGTTCTAAATTATTAACTAAAGGGCTATGAAAATTGTAATATTGGAACGCTAGGGAGAGCAACTGATTGCTTATTCGTAACCATTTCTAGATTGTATGAGAATAATGGAAAACCGAACATCCAAAACCAGATTAGCAACTAAAAAGACCAAGATTAGTCAAGAGTTACTGACATCGGTGCGACTCATGGGTCTTTTCATGCGCACTTCATTAATTGCGTCAGAGATGCTACCCGCGGCTAAACCTGAAATATTGACAAAAGATGTCACCTTTGAGCTCAAATATCAGAAACTTTAGAGGAAAACAAATATGACTCACCTTTCTGTACTGAGGATTGTGGAATAGTTGTGTCATGCATAGTGCCCCAACTGCCCTGTACATAAAATAGACAACACTATTGACGTTTCTTGATGCAGGAAAAACAACACAACCAAACAGTCATATGTGCCATGGTCGCATTACCTTTGCTAAGTACTCATCCAACGGGTCATAAAATCTCGGCCCTACCACCTCAGGAGGTTGAAGGACGTTATGGAAAAAGATATTTATCGAATCAAAGTAGAATTGTGGCCGTGGAGAGTTGTGATCTCCCTCAAATTTGATGATATTTTTGTCACCCTACCATAATCGTAAGCAAGATGTTTATACCAAATCAGATAGAATCTAGCGGAAGAGAACATATAAGATCTAAATTGGAAACTTACTATGTAGGCTTCATATATACGATCTGAGTGATGAGGGCGAATAAAGTCATCATCTAAGGCATGTCCAAATAAAACCGGAACAAAAGAAGACTTTGCCACCTGCAGCGTGAAAGATAAATAGTTAAGCAATGACAAGCAATGGTGTTGTCGTATATATCAGAGCATGTTATGCAATCAAGTAGATAAAAGTGACAAATAAGTAGAGAATACGACCTTAATGGTGTTCAGATCCGTTATATCAAACTTTGCTTTTTTCTGAATAGATCTCCGCATAAACTGTATTGCAAATTTGACCTGAATATTCAGTAGAAGAGATTAAAATCATAAAATAAAAGCAATGTGTAGCAGACAGCACAAATCCCACCAGAAACATTATATAATTACTTACAGTAAACTTTGGTAGACGGAACTTATATGTATCTACAAGTTCCATCATCAGATCAACCAAATCAGAGAAGGGGCTGTCTAGAATCATTCCTGCAATTGAAGGATCCTCGGCTCCATACATCAGACTGTAACGGAAAGGATGATTCAGCACAATGATATCACAGTTTAGCAGGAAGAACAAGTGATTGCAATAATAAATTGTTTGTTTTATAACTTCATCTAATCTCTTATCGTGATTCCCGTCACGTGTGACATGTGATAGGTATGGCTAATAACCCGGCAAGTATCACAGCCCACTAAAACTACTGAAAGTTTCACAGTATAAATAAATTACCGGTACGATAGCTTTCATAGATACTGTCCCAAACCATTAACCGAAACTTTATGCAAGATGGAAAAATGAATATGCTCTTAGTACGTTGATAGACTGGAACCAACCTAGTAACAGCACCCATTGAACGCCCCCATAACCCAATCAGGGATATATTTGCATCCTGCCGCAAAAACTCAACCACAGCCTTCAGATCATCTTTCTGCAAGTACTCACATTCACAGCAGGTTCAACACTTGTCAGACGAATGATCACTCGTATCGCAGAGTAAAGCGAGACTTTATGGGAGAAGATAAAGACACAGAGAAACTGGCCGCGGACTAAAACACGCAATCCTACATGAAAATATTCCCTGATCTGTCTAAACATGAACTAGAGATTCTATAGCCACCAAATCACATGGAATGTCTCTGTAGACGATAGCAAAATCATATTGGTTTACATGGGTATAAAATGGAAAATAATGGTGCAAATTTGGACAGAGATGTTTACTTCAAAGTAATAATATATTTTGAAGAGTAGAAGAGACAAAAAAAAAAAGAACGATTAAAGGAGCACGTACTTCGTTCCAGCCTAGGGTGACATGTTCCCCGCCTGAGAGACCAGATCCCGAAAAGTCAAGCGTGAAAACTGTGATGTTTGAAGGCAGCAACATAATTGCGGCTTCACTGCCATCTGCTCTACATCCACTGAATGATAGCATTGCAGGACAACATTAAACATTGCAGAACCATATTCCTTATAGTTGATTCCAATACACTAGCTGAAATAAGATCTTTATCAAACGTTCCCGTACCTGTTTCCATGGCAATATATTACACAGGGCAAAGGCTTTCCTTCAGGGCGTTCAACTGGCATATAATGACTACACTGGAGAACATCTCCCCTACTGTTTGTAACCTGCCAAAGACACATCCGAATAACAATCAAGCCAGGAAAATAAAAACAAATAGCTAATGAAAACACTAATTCACTTACTATTTAGGAGTTCACAAACAATTCTTTTTCAGTTTTCTTTTACTTCCATATGCTTATTATTACAATGAGGTATACACACATCTTATTTCAAAAAAATAGTTTTGACTTTATAAGAACAAACAACGGTGGGACCTCCATTGTTGCAAATCCCATTTATTACTAGAAACAAAATAAAGTTTGAATTTTTAATAAGCTTAGAAAGCTTTACCTCTAAATCCTTTCTCTGATACCATCTACCTTTCATCATGAAATCTTTTTCCAAGAGATCATGTTCCGGGTCGTACTCAGCTCTGCATCACACAAGTCAAAAAATTGTTAGCTTATAATCTTCTTAGGTAACATTTATAGTTTAACTTCAACCAAGAAACGTCTCAAAAATCATGTCAAAATAAACTATTCTTGAATTTCCCCTAGAAATTATAAGAAGATTCAGAATCAGGACCCAGTAGAATCTGAATAGTAACTCTCAGTACGACTCAAGAGAGATCACGTGTGTGCCAACAAAAAAAATAAAGAAGAAGAATTTTGTTCAGAAGAAGGTCAAGCAAGCAAGTACAGAAAATACAAGTGCATGTAATTGTAAATTAGGAAGAAGACAAATTGAAAGTGGATTCGAAGCGGTCCACATAATTTTGCTGGCATACATCTAATCAAGTCAGGAAATCTAAAATTCAGTGAAATCCCAATTCTCAAACCGATTGAATCTAATACTTAAGACGAGAATTCGACAACCTCATAATCGAAAATCAAATCCCATTTGTCGATATGGTAAAGCGAAAAAAGATAGAGAAGCTTTACCTTGGAGGTCGAATGATGAAGTTAACAAGCTGCTCCATTCAAGAATTCAAAGCAATTACCACTGTTTTCTCATATACTCGCTTCTTGTGTTCTCTCGATTGGTCAAGCCGAGAAGAAACCCGAAACGGAAATTAATTAAAACCCTAATTAAAAGAAGGAAGAGAAGATGGAGTAGTTTTCAGAGAAGAATCAGTGAGATCGAAAGGGACGAAGAAGAATAATGAAAGAGAGAAACGAAGGGAAAGAAAAGAAAGAAGCTTTAGAACGAATTTTTTGGTTGTTATTGTTGAGCCTGGACTATACTGTTGTTTGTTTGTTTTTTTTTCCCTTCTTTTTCTTCAATTTCTGTTAATACATACGTTTAAAAATTTAAAACTCCTAAATAACCAGCAGCATTTTAAAATTATTCATTTTATTTATCTTTAAGGTGGGCATTGCGGTTATTTGGTTCGGTTTGAATTATTTGGATTTAAGTTTTTTAAGTTTTAGAAATAGATCTTTGAGATTATCAGTCTTATGTCAGTTTGGTTTTAATAATTTGGTTCGAGTTTGGTTTCGATTCCGTTTGGTTTTGGACAAAACTATTATAAAAAATCAAATTATCCATTAATTTTAAATAATATTTTGATTTTAAGATATTCTAATATATATTTAACTAAACATAATTAATTTTTTTTTTTTTTGAATTTTTCTTACTTCGATAAATTTTATTTCGTTTATACAATTTGAATTCACTTCATTTCGGAATCCTATACGGTATAGACATTTTTTACACTTAGTTAGTTTTTCATGTCTCATTTTCTTGAATTCACTTCATTTCGGAATCTTATACGGTAGACATTTTCGACACTTAGTTTTTCATAGGGGTGGGCATTTTGGTTTATTTTTGGGTTCGATTCGGTTTAGTTAATTCGGGTTTAATAAAATTCTAACCACTCAAACTGAAATAAGTTTGGTTCGATTTGAATTCGGTTTGGTTTAATTCAGTTTGATTTTAGTTCGGTTTAGTTTTAATTTAGTTTTAAAAAAATCAGTTTGAAGAAATAAATGGTGTGTTGGTTTAGGTGAAATTTCACAATTCACCATATTTCAAAAAATTAATATTATGAACTAACTAAAATGTTAAATGAAATAAGTAAATTAATTTTTTGGTTTGGTTCGGTTTAAAACCAAACCAAACCAAACCGTTTGGGTTGTGAAAAACTTCAACCAAATAGGTTATATATTAAAAATAGATCGATTCAGTTCGGTTTAAATTCGATTGGTTCAATTGGTTCAGTTCGGTTTTTTCCCACCCTAAGTTTTTCATATCTCATTTTCTAGGTCGAAGAACTCACAAAATCGTTCCACTTCTAAGTTCTAGCTAGAGTTCTAGTATTCTGTTAAATTCATCGCCGCAAGTATAAATGTAAAAATGCTGTAACATAATATTCATCAAAAAAATTTTGTTGATCATACATATTATTTTCCTTGAAATAACAGCCTTCTTTTTTTTTAAATTACAAATTATCAGCCTTCACATAAATCATCATGTAATGTAACACAACAACGTACGTATGACAAAAACAATCAAATTTCAACTAAATGTGTAGAGATTAGGTTACAATAACCCATTCTCTAAACCAATTTAGAAGAGCACGGTGTTAGGGATTATAAGATAAGCTTAACTTGAAACATTTTCAATTGCAATAAAGTTTCATGTTACATCATAAAACCAACAAAAACAAAAGTTGATAAATATTGCAGGATCGCTTCCACGATCTGCTTAAACTAATTTAAAGTTTTACCATAAAATAATCTATAAAAAACATAAAATTCGTGACACATGGTAACAAAAATAGTTACGAATTCACAGGTCGAATCCGATATTTATCACAGAAATCGGAGCTAGAGCAAAACAAATAAAAAAGAAAGACAATTATGACCATCCCAGCACCAATGCAAAATATGGAGCCTACGATTATTCCGATGAGACGAAGCTCCATACTGATTCCTCACCACACACCAAAAATTTGTTCTTTCTAACTCCTTATTTTTTTCTAATGTCGGGTGCAAATGTATATTTATAATATATATGTATCGTCAACATAAAAGTTAAAATTTACATTTCTGTAAATATATAAATCGGTGAAACTTGTAAACTTTACACATTTTGACATTAAAGAACATTAAAAAAGACAAAATTGGAAATTTTACATTTAGTCATTAATGACCACAATAACTAGGAAAAATGGAAACTTTACATTTAATCATTAAGGAGCACAATCAAATGATCAAGGCACGTGGTGATTAAAGAGCACATTTAGTCATTAATGATCAACGCATGTAGTGATTTAAGCCCACTGCAATGATTTACTAGTAACATTGTAGAGAAATCTCGATCCCTCTCAGCTCATACACCGATTCCACCTAACAACACGAGATCGGAGATTTCTGATTGCAAGATACACGAACAGAACAATTTGCAGAAAGTAAATGAGACGAGAGATTTATCCAGTTCGGGAGCAAACCGCTTCCCTACGTCTGGCCGAGGACTCCTCGGAATTCACTAGAACACTTCTTTACAATCGTCGTCTCTCACCGGAAAACTAAGAGATGTAGCTTTCACTCACCGGAATTACACTCTCTCTCTAGTTCTCCCCTTTCTCTCTCCTCACAATACAAAAGATTCTCACACCCGAATACAATTGTTTGTTACAACTTATTTCCAGTCTCTAACCGACTCTTATCCACATCGGAATACAAAACTGAAAAACACAGAGACGCCTGCGCGTGATCTTCACGCTCCAACGGTCTGATCTTCATCGAGCTGGAAATAGAGGTTTTTGAGTAGAACGACGACGTGTAATACAGAACCAACTTAAACCCGAGAGTCAATAACCTGATCTCTGAGCCGGTTCAAATCTAAGCCCCTAAACCGGAAGCTTCTGTTCCATTTAGTGTGTTATATCAACCAACATTCAACAAACATTTTGTTTCAAAACATTCTAAAATTTTGATATTTTCATTAGGTATTTTACTGAGCTGAAAGAAGAAAAAAAAAGTCCCCATTTCACGAGGACTTAACACAATTGGGGGAAATCAACATAAAGGACCAATCACTGATTTGGTAAGATTTCTTACATAATTCAACACTTTAGCCTCTGATTCACCACCAAAACCTCACTCGTCTCGAAGAGTCTTATATATGCATACATTGCAATTTGGGCCAACTGTTTGTAGTAAAAGAAGGACCAGTATGGAAAATGATAGAAGTTCTTTAACAACTTAGCAACCTTCGAAACTTACAACTAATTAAAATCAGTCCAATGCTGGGAAAAAACAATACCTCAACAGTAAGACAAAACGATTATTTGTTGTTCTTTTAGATGTTTTGCAGCTTACATCAATAAATATCTCTAGGCAAATCAACATTTACAGCTTGTTACACAATATGACGAAGTATCTCAATATAAACACAGAAAATAAAGATTGTGCTTGTATAATTTAGTTTTAAATCCCTTAAATAACTTAGGGGAACAATAAGAATTGCTATGATTTTCTAATGGCATAGGATGTATAGAAAATCATATTGAAGCTTCATTTGAATTTAAACTTGTCAATTAATATATAAGGATATTTTCATTAATATTTACTAATGAAAAACTATTTAACGTTAAAAATACCTTTGAAATCTTATTATATTATATGACGCAAACAATACAAAGCATGTTGTAATTTGGTGTATCACCATGAGAATTGCTTCTCGAATTTATTAAGAGGTGCGTTGTATAGGAAGAGACCGTCACGATAAATTCTCCAGAGACATAGTCCATCGAGTTTGCATCTTCCTCTGTCTCTATTGACATCAAAGATGAGGAAACTACCCTTTTTGCCTCCTGATGAGATATCACAACTCCATTGAACTTGTTGTGTTGTGTCAAACTGAAATGGAAAACCTTCACCACGATTTAATACCGACGTAAAAGTATCTCTTTTGGGCGGCGAGGTGCAGTGTATTGTGACCGGAGAAGAGCCTGGTTCAAGGAAGTTGATCAACTTCACGGTGAATATTGAAGCTTCATCAGCCGACGATGAAGAGATCAAAGCTAAGGCTAAGTAGACGAGGAAGAGGCTGTAGCCTATTGCTTTGGTTGTTATCATCTTACGTTAAACACATTTACCAATATTTTTATGAGTCAATTTATATAAGAAACTGATTTGATATATTGTTTTTAATAATTATGGTAAGAATGATCATAAAATCAAAAAAGACTTTAAAAAAAAAACACATGCCAGTTTTGGTAGAAATCAATATATTACTCACTCCAAAAATGGTGTATATTTTGTAATTCTCCACAAGAAGATCACCGATAATTGAAAGACTCATTAAAAAAAATGAGAATCTTGCATCGAAAGACATTTTATGAGAACAGTGAATCTTGCTTCAATAGACCTTTTATGAGAATCTGAGAACATTGTTGTATTTTCGTCATTTCTCTAGAGTCTCTCCATTTGTCGTAGTCGTAGTAGTAGTCACGTCTCAGAAAAGTTTTGGCATTTTCGGCTGGACCGTAAAAGATTGTATGAATCAATGACAAGCAGTGTTTTTCTTACAAGAGTAACCGTTAACACTTTAATTTATTCATCAAAACCTTCACAAGCAGTGTTTTTCTTACAAGAGTAACCGTTAACACTTTAATTTATTCATCAAAACCTTCACAATTATCACACCAAACAAATAAATAATCATAGATTTGATTGTATATATATAGACCGAAAAATATAAGCAAATAAGCAATCGGGTTGTTGCTCTCAGGAGGCATAATAAGCAGAAGGGAATCCTTTGTATGAATCAGCGAATGCAGCTAAATTCCCTGGACGCGAGAAAACCACCTGCATTGTATTGTATTGAAAGATTCAGAATCTCACTGTTTATAGCAAGAAATTAATGAAGCATGCCTATATTTATGGTGTAATGTTAATGTTATTACCTGGTAGTTTCCAAGGGTAAGAGTCTTGAAACCAGCTGCGCAATAATCGAAATAATACTCCCATGTCCTTATGAATTGATCATCAAATCCAAGAGCAATGATTGGTCTGCACAGATAAAAAGTGTTTTTTTTTTTTGTGTGGAAATGTGAGGAAACAGAGTGAAGTTAGAAGAAAAAACAGGGGAAAGATTTTCAATATTTTTATCTTACTTTTGTCTCTCCAAGAAGTTCTTCCTCCACAATCTCAATGTTTTGTAGTAATGAATTCCAATGTTCTCAACATGTTCAATGCTGTATTTATATTCAGTGTTAGAAGGAGTCAACGAAGAGATAAGAAAATATTTTGGGTGAAGAACAACTTACCATAGCCTAGAAGAAGAGGCCATAGCTGAAGTGACTCTTGCCAAAGAAGGAAGACATCCACCAGGGAATATGTATTCTTTTATGAAATCTGAACTTAGTCTATACTCATTGTAACGCTCTTCGGGTATCGATATGAACTGTTATATGTGGTCAAAACGTTATAAAAACATTTAAATGGTTGTGCAAAAAGTTGAGGAAAGGATGTCTTAAAAGAGAAGAAGCTAGGTATTATTACCTGCAAGACTATTAGGCCATCTTGTGCAAGTGCAGCTTCACATCGACTGAAAAACATTTCCATGAACTCATGTCCAACCGCTTCTAGCATCTCACTGATATATCAAAAAAAAAATTATTTCATAAGATAGATTCATTATAGAGTTATGGTAAGAGGAAGAGAGAGAAACAAGGGCTTTACCAAGATATGATTCTGTCATATTTCTGAGTATCAGAGAGTTGGCGATAATCACATAGCTCAAACTTAATCCGATCCTGGTGATTCAGAGGTTATATTGTTAGTCATAGCCTTGAAGATATAAAACAAGATCCAGAGATGGATATTATGCAAACCTCAAGTCCAGCTTCTTTCACTTTTTCTTCTGCATATTTAAGCTGTTCAATAGATAGTGTAATTCCAGTGTATTTGCATCCAGTTCTTCTCACAACTTCTATGGCCAAAGTTCCCCATCCACATCCAATCTCCAAAACCTCATGATTCTTCTCTATTCGCGCCTGAAAATGTCCCGCTCTGGTTATTCAAGAACATATATTTATAAATCAAGAAAATGCTTTTCAAGATGTTACCTTCTCAATCAGAAGAGATATTTTTCTCATCTGAGCAGTTTTTAGATCCTCATCATCTGACTATAACATGATAGTGATGAAAGGTACGGTAAAGTCAGAATCATCTTAAAATAAGAGAAACCAATGAAAAGTAAGTCCCCTGGGAGTTCTTTTAATGATTACCTTGAATACTGCAGAGGAGTAAGTCATGGTATCATCCAAGAAGAGACCAAAAAGCTCGTTACTCTGTTAATTAAGCCAAAAGGTAATTTGATGATAAACCCAAAAGACAGATGAAATGTTTCTATTTAAAAAGACATGGAGATTCAAGCCACATACAAGGTCATAGTGACGAGAAATGTTCCTGCGAGCTTGTGTTAAAGTGTTTTGCCTAGAAACATGCTTTAGAAAATATTTCGCAGATGCTACACCAGCTGTTAGAAACATGGGTGTCCACCATCCCCTGTGAGATCAAAAACACAAATCAAAGATTAGAGACAGAGCTTTTAGCCCAATCCTAAATCCTTAATGCAAATATTTTAAAGCTTTTAACCTTTTCTTGGCAAGATTTGATTTTGTTGAGCTCAGATCTCTGTTAGCAATGAGAATCTGTACAAATTTCATCAAGAAGTTAAAACATCACTGAATAGCACGAGCGAGACAAGAAAGAACAAGAGTAGACTCGGTATCTAAGCGTCTACAAGTATATTATTTACCATAATCAGATTCACAAGTCCTGAGTCTTTGTCAACAAAAGAAAAATCTCCATTGATATAAGCATCTGCGAGTCCTAAATCTGCTTGTGTCATAACCTGAGAAACAAGAATCAAGAATCAGGTTCTTGAGCTGTAGAAAGCTATTCAAACTTTCTCATTGTCTTAGATATATATATATATATATATATATATATATATATTACGTACCTTCCAGTAGAACTGAGGACTGTGAATTTTGAGGACAGATTTCAAAGAACAAGTAGAATCTTTTCCACCAAATGTGAACATTGTTCCTCCTTCTTCTAGTATTCTGTTCAGTTCATAGCGGTAAGTATTAATGTAAAAATGGAGGAACATAATGTTATTCTAAACTAAGTGAGCCTCACGTGACAGAGCCTGTTGATATGAACTGTCCCATGAATCTAGTAACGAAAAGCCGAGCTCCTGATTCTGTCAAAGAAGGGACCATATGTCGCGGATTGTTCAAAAGAGCGGCCTCTTTCCCCAACAACCCTCTTGCAGCAGCCATACCAGCCTGAAGATAGTTTTAATGAGTTATTACAAAATTCAAATGTGTAGTAAGCATTCATTATGTAGAATTCGATCATTACCTTTAGTCCGTCTTCATGAAAACCGTAACCTGAGAGGCAGATTCAGCAAAGGATATAAGAAAAGAGAAAACCTGGAAAGAGAACTCATTGCTTTAGGTTTTTAAGAATCTAGGGTTTACCCTGGTATGCACCACAGAACCACATGTTACGTTTTCCCTGAATCTTGTGAAGCTCCTGTGAAGCTGTCCAAGCTGCAACAGATGGCACAGGGTGACCGGTGGTCCATTTGAGCAACGTCTTCTTTGGGGTCTGGTCTGGATTAAGTGTCACGAAGAATGGTTCGCGGTCCTCCCCAAGGTTCTACATAGGACAATACACAATCAGATTTAGCTTAACGCTTCTTGCTTCTTGTAAAACCAATGTTAAAAAGTCTGTGGATTGTGTCTTATACCTGAAGTATATTGAGCCAGTATGTTACACATACTTTCTTTTCCGTGCTTCCTAAGAAATTCCATGCGCTCCATGCTGCTCGGTTGCGAGGCATCAAATCAGTGTCGTGATGGAGATATATATCGCTGAAATCAAGGAGGACAAGTTAATGAATCGCTTAAGCTTTTCGATCAAAGAGAATAAACAAATGTGTGGATTTTGAAACCTGTAAACGTATCGGAAAGCACCAAGAATCCTAGTTTCATCATATGTCACTTGTTCGCCAAGCAATCTAAGAGCATCTGGAGCGTGCATAGCCATTATGCACCTATCGAATTCTTCTTGAGACCCATCTCCACTTGTTACAGTGACACAACCATCCTCTGATGTCAAAACAGATTTTATGTCGCAGCTTGTTCTGATCTTGCATCCTAGTCGCTCCAATTCTGCCCTAACCTGAAACGTAGGTAACACGTGAGGCTCAAATGCAAAATATTCGCACAACACAAGCTTGGTTTAGTTTATAACCTTTGCAACATAACTCTGAGAACGTCCTGCGACGGTTAGCCACTGTGGCCTCCCAAAGATCTGGAAAAAACAACGAAATAATCAAGCAAGGAAACACTGAGAAAATTGTGTAAAAAAAGAAAAAAATTAGAGAGGATTAATGAACCTGAAGAAGATGGTGGTTGCAGCAAAACGAAAGAACAGAGTAAGCAGAGAAGCTTAAGACACCATCTGATGGACATGACCATATTGAACCACATATCGGAACCTAAACTCCACAGACATAGATACTGAGGTTACTTCTTGTCCAAGAAAACATCAAATAACATTTTCACTGATCAATTAAAGAAATTGCCCTTACCAAGTAAGCTTTCTGAAACAGCTCAGAGTATCCACGGGAGTTGAGGAACTCTCCTAAGGTTTCGTTTCGACTAATATCAGGATTAGACTCGAGCTCTTCGATGTATTTTAAAACGTCTTCTTTAAATTTAACGATTTCTCTGATCATCTGCCAAAAATAAGGATTCAAAGCGTTCTTCTTCTGAGCAAATAAGCCTGAGACACCATTGCGGCTTCCCCATTCACAACCTTTGCCATTGTCAAGGCTTACTGCAAAAGACATGTCTGAAACCTCCATGTCTACTCCAAGTTTCTCGAAGAAGTCCATCATGTTTGGATATGTAACCTATGAACATATATATGATCAATATCCAGAAGTTCAAGCTAGGAATAATTTAGAAACAATCTTTAATATGAATTTCAAAGATTTTGATATGTTATTACATTATTTTCATTACATTTTTAGACTAATTTTGTGTAATATA